CTACCATTTTTTTTCATGGGCTTACATTCTAGTTCCTATGGTAACATTGTCATGGTTTAACCCTAGCCAGCAACTAATAGATAAAGACAGCTTAATAGGTAAAGCAAAAGCCATGCACGCAAGCAAAGCAAAACAAGGAATTCACTCAGCACTTCCCATCGGCAGGCAGGTGTTCAGCCATCTCCAGGAAAGCAGGGCTCCATCACGCATAATGGTTACTTGGGAAGACAAACACCATCACTCTGAACATTCCCACCTTCCCCCAGCTTTATATAATGAGTATGCTGTCATATGGTCTGGAATATCCCTGTGGTCAGTTGGGGTCAGCTGTCCCAGCTGTGTTTCCTCCCAAATTCTTGTGCCTCCCCAGCCTGCTTGCTGGTGGGGTGGTGTGAGAAGCAGAAGAGGCCTTGACTCTGTGTAAGCACTGCTCAACAGTAACTGAAACCTCCTCAAATTATCAACACTGTTTTCAGCACAGATCCAAAAGGTAGTACTATCCCAGCTACTATGTAGAAAATTAACTCTATCCCAGCCAAAACCAGCACAAACATTAAAGATTTTCTATTTTCTATGTAAATGCACCCAAATTATATTACTTATATGAAATCACAATTTTCAGTTTATGTTTGTATATATTTGCTGTAGTGGCACTTTACTGGACTGGGCCGTAGTGCTCAGACAGCCATTTGTCAAAGGGGACCATGTATATTTTACCAGTGTGTCTCAGTTGTTCATCCCTGTTTTCCTCTGGTGGTTGTCTGTCCTGCTCTGAAAGGATGACAAGCTTAAATTTCATTAATAACTGGGAGATTATAATAATTTTCTAGATTGCACTTGAAAACTGATAATTCTTCTCTCAAGTGACTGGTGATTGTCAGTATTTACAATCACAGTATGGCTATCTTTTCCATGTTTCCCCAGAGTGTGCCAGGTACATGGCCAAAAGTGGCTGTTTGCATGGACTCTGTCTTTTAGTTTGTCACAGTTATTTGGTCTTGATTATAAAGAATGACAGTAATTACTTTTGGAAATGTTGCTAGCAGTATTTTCTTTTACATTGATTTTTTTAATAACTCCATTTTTCTTTGTTACATTTCTTGATGGAGAAATTGAATCAGGTGGAGTGCACTGGCTGGATGGGAAAAGATTGCTTTTCCCACAGGGAGCACTGGAGGACATTCAGGTCAATGGAGAGGCTCTCAGAGGCCACAGGGTGTGTATGTCAGGCAAGCCCAGGAAAGTAAGCTTGGGCAGGAACACTGCAAGCCTGCTGGGAGAAGCAGAGAGCAGCAGACAGCTAGACCCCAGAGACTGCAACTTCCAAGGTACTAAAGGGGACTTAAAGTTTGCTGCCACTCAGAAAGTCATTGACCTAATAGAAACAAAGCTGGGAAGCAAGCATCTGTCTTCAAGGATGCAGTGCAGACTGGGTTTATTGAATACCTTTCTGGAGTCTCCTTCTGACAAGTCTGCTTTGCCCAAAATTAGATCCTCTCATGAAGTGAAACATTAGAGCAACTCGATTGCTTTCCTTCTCCCTTACATGAGAATATCTCTGGCTGCTCTAGGTAAAAGACTACCTATGTAATACACAATGCCAAGCATGCTGATAGATAGTTAACTTCCCTGCAGTTTTTTTGATCCATTTGACACCTGCTGCCCCATGAATGTTCTGAGATGCCTTCTGCTGGCAGCAAGTGGCAGCAAGTGGTCACACTGTTATCCTGAACTTAACTAGACTATCCAAAGAGTTACAAAGACCTCTGTGGCTAAGGACTGTTACTCCAGGAATCAGCCTGGGATCCTGGATCTTCTGAGCATTTGCAGCTCTTGCTTGTTTTTGTACTTTCTCATTCTGAATTTGTCACCCTGAACCTCAGTTGCCTCTGGCTGGCATAGCTGTTAAATGGTTGTTGGAACAAGCAACGTACTCTGGTCCAACAGCTTCGAATGTGAAGGGAACAAGCTTTTCAGTTTAAGGTTCATCCTCAGCTTGTAGCTAGCCACCTTTCTCAAGGAAGCAGCTGGAGTTTTTCACCTGTCAAAGACTGTTCCCCACTGGCACCAAGATTCTCTCTTCACCTGTTGAATGGACGTTCCCTTTGAAACAATGAGAGCCTCCTCCCTTGTGGTTTAATTCCAGCTGGCAACAGAGCACCACCGAACTGCTCGCTTAATCCCACTCAGTGGAATGGGGAGAGAACCAGAAGGCTAAAGGTGAGAAAACTCATGGGTTGAGTTAAAGACAGTCTAATAGGTAAAGCAAAAACCGTGCGCGCAAGCAAAACAAAACAAGGAATTCATTCACCACTTCCCATTGGCAGGCAGGTGTTCAGCCATCTCCAGGAAAGCAGGGCTCCATCGCACATAACAGTTACTTGGGAAGACAAATGCTATCGCTCCGAACGTCACCCCTTCCTTCTTCTTCCCCCTGCTTTTATTGCTGAGCATGATGTCATATGGTATGGAATATCCTTTTGGTCAGTTGGGGTCAGCTGTCCCAGCCGTGTCCTCTCCAAACTTCTTGTGCCCCCCCAGCCTGCTCGCTGGTGGGGTGGTGTGAGAAGCAGAAAAGGCCCTGAGTCTGTGTAAGCATTGCTTAACAATAACTAAAACATCCCAGAATTATCAACACTGTTTTCAGCATGGATCCAAAACCAGCACATCCCTCCATCATTTCATGGCTTCAGAGCCAGAAAGTTAACATAGTGTGCGTGTCCCTTATCCAAGCTGCAGAATGCAGAGTTCAAACATGAACATTAGATGTACCTTGGTCTTTTGATTGTACTACAAGACACTTCAAGAAGAATCTTCATCTGTTCATGTTTATGGTCAATAATTCTAAGGGTTCGACTTTCTTGCTAGATAATGAAGCTGTGTAGGTATAGGCTATAAGACTGCTAAGCATCAGGGCAGGTCAGCTCAAGCAGCATTAGGCAATTGCTTCAGTCCTGTATATCTTTCTGGGGCTCCTTTCAGACTTTTGTTAAGCCTGCCACTGTTGCTGCATGCCACTGTTTCTGCAGCCTTAAGGCATGGTGTTGGTCTGTTCTTGTTCACGCAACTACTTGAGGACCTTCATCCAGACAGTAGACATTTGTGGAGTATGCTGCTTGCAGATGAATAAAGGCAAGGGGAAGGTATGCATCAGTAACTGTACCAGGTTGAACTGGTCCATCCTCATAAATGTTCACAATCCCATCTTCTTCCTTGTTCCTCCAGTTTCTAAAGCTTTTCAGGTTCATGACCATCTGCTTATGGTTGCACATACTATGCATACTTGTATGGGTATTGCTAAAGCAAAGTCTTCTTGGGTTTTCTGTGCCTTGCTGTATGAATACCCTCAGTGTCAGTGATGGCACGGATGACATACTTGGGATTGCAGTTAATGAAAAAGTGCTTCCCTTTTTTGTTACTTGTAAATACTTGCTCCACGGAACAAAGATACAATTGTATTATGCCGTCATAAATCTCTTTAGCTTGCACCATATGTGAATAATGTTTTGGCAGGCAAAACTTGATGAAGAAATGTTACTTCGAGGCTTCTTACTCTCTTAGAAATGATGCCTAACAAGAATGTTACTCACATTACTCAGTGATCCTGTGTAAATTCCAGTATCAAATTACCTCATCTTTACCAAGGAATAGAAAAGGAAGACTTTTAACTGTATTGTTTTTTATCCTGCTTCTCAAAGGAACTTGCTGTTTCAGAGTTCTGCGTAAGTGGAAAGCATTAACTTCACCCGTCATCATTCACTGGTATATACATACAGTTTGACATTTATTTGGAAACTCTTGTCTGTCCACTCATAAGCGTTCCCTGTGGGAATCATGGTACATATGTGCTCCATTGAATTACATGTTATAACCTATCTAGTGAAATTATTACTCTTATCATTTGTCCACATTTTTATTTTGCCTGTTGCCTTTCTAAGGGTTTTAGAAATACATAAGTATATTAAAATACCTTATTAAACTAGTTTAAACATTTCTCAAGAAATGCACAATTACTTAGAGGGTGTCTATATATTTTTACTTATAAAACTTATCCTTCTAAGAGATGGGATGAGTGGATATGCAGAGGTAGATCCTGAACAGTCACTTAAAAACCTATTGTTTCCAGTTCAACTATAGAGTTTGAGACCAAATTGAAGCTTTGTGAAATCAAGATTGATATCTGAGCCATTAGAACTTCAGGTTAAAATATCTGGGGACATATAAGATTATGAGCACTTTTGGTTTGGGGGGTTTTGTCTATACCAGTGAGGTTTCTTCCTGACTGAGGTAAATGAAAAATATTCAGAATTAAGGCTTTGGTGTTACAGGAGCAGGCTTAAATATTTAATTACTTAGACATATAGTCTGTTGTGTATAGTGGGACTTAAAGAGTGTGTAAAAATTTCAAGTTTTGGGAGAGCATACTATATTTTTATTAATTTTTAAAAGAAACTCCAAATCTTTTACTTGCTTCAGATAGTTCAAGATAATTACCTTGATCTTGGCAATGAAAAGATATTTGAACTCCCAGGCACTAGGAAAATATGTTTTTAAAAGTCATCTATAACAAAGAAAAAACTACTAAAATGGTGGTGATCACTTACCACTACCCCAAGACATCTCTGTTTCTAGCTTTGTTCTGACTGAAAAGCATTCATTTACTTCAAAATGAAATATTTCAAGCTGGAAGAAAGCCTGGATGAAGCATGCTTGTTATCTGAAGGTGATAAGATATTTAACAAAAACATGCTGAGAAATCAAATTTACATTTCAGTTTTTGTGCTTCCAGAAAGAATAGTAATGAAACCATGGATGTACTTTTTCAACAGAAGGGAGCTCTTCAATGAGTTTTTTTCTGTTGAATGGAAGCCATGGTGATTTGCTGGTAGTTTTCTCTCCTTTTTGTTTTTCTTTCTTTCTTAACCACCTTGAAACTCGTTGCTGTTGGCAAAATAGCAACAATTAATTTTGTTGTTAATTATGGACTGATTTATTTTCAGATCTCGATAGAGAATGACTACCTAGGCCCCAGAAGAATTGAGAGTCTGCAAAAAGAAGATGCTGATTGGCAGAGAAAAGCCCACATGGCTGTGCTTTCTATTCAAGATCTTACAGTTAAATACTTTGAAATAACAGCTAAAACACAGAAAGGTAGTTATTTTCTACTATCCTATCCATCAAATAAAAGATCTTTAAAAATTTATTTAATGTTTGCCATGTTCTGTATTGTACTGTTACTTATTTTTTTCATCAATCCTCCATGCAGAAAATGCAGTTGTCATTCCCATTTTTTTTTCTTCTGTGTCTATTCGAATCTTTTACCAATAAGCTTTTTCAGAATAGCAACAGAAGTGAGCAGAATAGAAATTTTAGATAAAAGTTTCACAATGACTTTCTCAATGTGATTGTATTAGCTGCATTGTACATTTGCAAAGGATTTAGGAAGCATAGAGTCTGTGATGGATTCTGTCTTCTGTACTGGATATGGCAGACCACCATAGTAAGTGTTTATTACCTTTCAATTCATTTCCTTTTCCTGTCTCCCCTGCCTTTCAGTGATTTTTTGTTTTTTTCATAGCTCTAAATATTAAGCAACAGCTCAGTTTGACTACTTAGTGAAAGCTGCTCTGTTAATCAGAAATCTTCATGGATATAACCTTGGCATTTCTATGCTTGAAGAATGCAGCAGTTTTACTAAAGAGTTGGTGCAGTAAAACCAGGTCATATGACTTGCCATGTACATCTGCACTCTCATCCTTGTACCATTTTAACTTAAATAATCAGTTTATTAGGTCAAACACACCCGAGGATGTGGGTTCATGTCACTTCATTTCGTTTGACTGTGGGCTACTACTGACAGGGTTTATGTCCCACTGTCTTCCCTGCTTGGCTGCGGGTTGCTGTTTCTTTCTTTGCCTTGGTGATAGTCATTGTGCAACCAGATAAATGAGCCATACCCCTGGGAGAAAATATTTTTGGATGGCTAGGTTTCTTGTCATCTCCCTGCATGACTGCTAGATGTGCCTCAAGAGAAGCAGTCACTGCAAAATGATTCCTTTCGGTGACAACCCATGTTAAGGATAACATGAAACTCCACCATTTTGAAAAAGTGACTAAACCAGTCAAGCATGTTGGAATGAATTTAATTAGAGCAAATTCTAAATGTATTTAATCAGTTCGGTTCCTTTTCCAGTATGACAAAGGCAGCTAATAAAATACCCAGTTAGTTGATGAAGAATGTGTATTTACAGTTATTTATTTTTGTTTTGTTCACATGCTTTTTTTATGTACAGCAGTTAAGATTGTGGGGAAAAACACTGGGAAATGAAATGCCTGGAGACTGTTTACAACCATAGAACTTTGGTAGACAGGTTGTTTGCCCGTTTTGTTATGTTTTGGGTTTTTTTGGCCTCCTGCTGATCACAGTGTGGTCTTACATACCAAAACACTAACAGATGGCAGAGGAAAAACACATGAGAACATATATTTTTTATTACCTAACAACTGCATGTAATATCTTTTAGCACCTGGGGACTGAATGCCTCCCCTTTGATTGTGTGGCCTCCGTGGTTTTTGCTTTGCAAAGCTAAGTGTACAGTATCATGTGATTGTTCTATATATTAAAAATGGTGAAAATCTCATGTGTGTCAGCTTAGATGTTGCCTGGAGCTCAAGAGCAGAAAATCTGAATCAGGCAAGGGACTTGTGCTACTCTGAAGTCTTCATGAAAAGATTCTCATTCGCCTCTGCGTATTAAGATCAGATTATAATTTGTTTACTTATTTTGAAGTGATTTGTGAAGCAACCAGCATTTTGAGTGAAAAGATAGATGTTATTTAAATTTAATTCAGTATTCTTACAGAATTGTACTTGAGATCAAGCTGAAATTTTTATTTTAAATTATAATTTTTTTCAATCTGCAGATTTGTTTAAACTTACGACTGCACTATAGAAGTTATTAAGGGAAACTGGAGACTTTAGTAGCTGATAATTTGTGCTTTCAGAAGCAGGGAAAATTTGGGATGCAGTTTAAGACCACGTGGTAGCATTAATGAGATATTTTTATTAAGTCAAGAATTCTGAACCATTGGTTCAAGTGGTCAGGTACTTTGTATTCAGAATGGTCCTTCTGTGGATAACAAAAATTGGAATTACAATGATAAAACCATCAACAAATACCTAATTGCATGTTTACATGAATCCTAAGAGTACTTACATCCTAGATTTGAACCTTAGTACTCTGTAGAATGACTGCTCCCTGCTAAGAGAATTTTGTATGCTTTTGGGTACAAATGTGTGCATTGTCTCAGCAGTAGAATCACTAGTGACCTGAAGAGTAGATGGTAAGCTATCTGCCTTTTCTTCCCTTCTGTAGCTGTGTATGATCGAATGCGAGCAGACCAGAAAAAATTTGGTAAGGCAGCATGGGCAGCAGCAGTGGAACGTATGGAAAAGCTTCAGTATGCAGTTTCTAAGGAGACTTTGCAGTTGATGCGTGCTAAAGAAATCTGTTTGGAGCAGAAGAAACATGCGCTGAAAGAGGAGGTAATTTTTCATACCAATAAGTAGAAAAATAAACCATGCAGAAAAAAAGCAAACCTTAAAGAGTGTTGATGTACTTAAAACAAAAAACCCCCACACCTGAAAGTCATTATTTTTCAGCTTTTAATAACAAAAGTCTGTATTTAAACTTTTACTACACTCTACCATGTTAGTCAAATGGAGTTGCAATGTAGGTGTGGTGTTTCTTCTGCCACTTATGTTTTCTGTTCACCTTTTCCTGGTTAGTCAGTCAGGATGATAGTTTTTACTGTTAATGTTTACAACTATCCACTGAGATGACTAAAATGAAGAGAAGGAATAGGACAGAAATCTGCTGCTATGTAATCTCCACACTTAAGGCCTCAGAGGCATGACCACCTTTTCAGAGTAGCTCTGATATTCCAGATGGAAGGTGTCTGAACATTAGTAAATATACAGTTGACTAGCCTGTTGTACTGTACTGTCTTTGTCTCTGCTTACCCTAATTATTAAGGCAGTCTTCCAGAGAGGGTTGTGCTAGCTACAGCTTTCCTGAGGAAAGAGTGCATGCATTAAACTGTGTTTAAATGTCTTAGTAGAAAAACCCCACATTTATTGGGTTTTATGACACCTTCTCAAAAGCAGAAACGCTACAAATACTCTTTTAAAATTTGCTATCATACAGATATTTGGTGCTAAGAACTTTCTGTCATACTAATGTTAGTTTACAGTCTATCCAATCAGTTGCTTGTTTTCAGAGTGCTTTTGAAATGTTTCAGCAAAATTTGACTAAACCAGTGGCTCTGTTATGAAAAGGTTATTCAGAGAATTCACGACTTCAGCACTGTATAGATTGGTGGTTCATAACCCTGACAGACTATGTGCCTATTTTAGGAGCTTCTGTAGAAGACAGCTTGATCTGCAAGGAAGACATAGTACATGCAAGACCCAGAGCAAGAAAATAAAAAGTTTGCTCAATTTCAATGCTTTTTAGATTTAGAAAGCCAAGAGTTATCTGGAAACCTGAGTTTATCAGGCTATTGCTATCCTTAGCTAAGAATTGATGAGAGAATCCAGCAGTACTAATTGGAAATATATATTGAATATGTTCACATATTTAGAGCAGCTACACATCGTCTTTTCTGTAGCACATCTTATTTTTCTCCCAGTGGAGACTTTCCATGAATTTTTGTTGAATGAGCTCTCAGTCTGGTAAATGAGCGATTGTTCTGATGTGCAAAAGCATTAGGGGCTGCATAGGAAAAGGAGAGGTTCGTTGCAGTATATAGGGGGATGAAAGGCTCTGAACGAGTTTGGGGCTTTTGGGAACAGAGAAATAATAAACATCTGATGGACATGCATGGACATGGTGCTTTGGGATGGTGTATTACAAGGTAGAGCTCTGGGTCAAAACATGGTGATGGGGAGATATGAGGTCCAACTTCTTTCTGAAACATCTTTTTTTTTTGCTTTGAGAATGTAAAAGCTTTAAGTATGCAAAGTTGGATGTGGCAAACATGACTAGGAATCCCATACTGGAGAAGAAGGGTTGCAGTCTTACCATAAAGAAGATACTTGCAGAACTGAAATACCTTCTCTGGCAAACCATTTAGCTACTGTTTTCTAGGCACAGAAGATGAAAACAGGATGTTCCTTTGAAAAAGACTAAAATGCTCAAGAAACTAATTTATCAGGGTTTGAGTTGAGGATTAAGACAGAAAGAATGACAATTCAGAGCAAAGACCAGATCTGACTGTTTATGAGGACACTGTTGGTGTTCAGCAGGTTGTCTATGGATTTTTGAACATTTAGTCCTGGAAAAGAAAAAAGTTTATAAAACCAGTGGTACATCCTTTTCAAGGGGAAAAGATGTTTCTTTTAGTGTCTGAAATTTTTCTGATTGCCCAGGATACTAATTGTGAGTGATCATCTTAACCTCTTTTTTTTTTTTTATAATATTGTATCCTCTAGTATCATGGCCTGACTGTAATTGACTCCTGATACTTAATTGGTTGGAGTAGTGCTTTTGTTCCACAAGTTGCTAGTTATGAGTGAAAGCCTGCCTTTTATCAGTGGTGAGAGTGCTCCGTGTTTCCCTTAAAATAATTTATAAATTCTTTAAAATGATTTTCTGTTTATTTTGAGGATAAGCTTCCATATTCACACTTAAAGACCTGAGTTTTTTTCTGAATTTTACTCCCTCCTTCTGAGGCTTCTCAGACAGCAACAGTGACAAGTTAAAATAATACTTGAACTAGAGAACAGTCAGGATTCACATGGGGTGGATTGAAACATGACTTTGTATTCCATCTGAACAGTAACAGATTACTTAAAAGGCTGGATAATAGAAAATTTAATAATAGCTATTCATATATATAGCTACGGAAAAGTAATACAATTTTTTACTGTGAACTGCAGGTTAATTACTTTGTAAATGACAGCAAATGAGAATAACTTTATAACCTGGTAGCAATGTGATTGAGCCACCAATGCAACAGGGTGGTACAGCAGCAGATGCTCTCCAGTCTGTCAGATCAGGTATTTCCAGCAAAGGGAGAAGTGTTAGTCTTGCTGTACATCGAGTTGTTAGATTTATTCTACATCTTTCTTACACGCATTTCTGATCACCCAATAAAGATTAGTTCTAACTGGAGTAGTTAGAGGGAGGACTACCACAACGATGCCAGGAATGACGAGTCTGTTCTACAAGAGGAGTTGAAGTTGTTTTGACAAATAAAATGAAGGCTCAGATGATATAAAATTGCTCTCTACAAAAGTACTAAAGGGAATAAATATTAGGCAAGAGCAATGCGTGTTGCAGTTCAGTACTGGCCCAAGAACAAATGGTATTATCTGATTGTGAATACATTGGAAATATGGAAGAAGTTTCCTGGCAGTTAGGAGGGAGTATCTGGAACAGACTTCCAATGGGAGTAACAAATACAGAGTTTTGTGGAAACTTTTTGGTTTAGTTTTTACAAAAGCAGAATAAGAACAACAATAACAACATGGAAATTATTTTAAGAACTCAGTTTATGAAAGCAGTTCATTTTAGATTTGTCTGAAAGCATTCCATGGTGGTGGAAAGCTGGATTTGATGGCCCTCACTTCTGTATTCCATGTTTGCCTATTTTTCTATTAATTTTGTCATCTGTCCCTTTGGTATGTATGTTCATAGTTCTTGTCAGAGGCTTTCTGTTTTAACCCATTAATATCTTTATTAACAGTGTGTGGGTTTACAGGTGATACATTTCTCCCTTAGAACTATTAAGAAACCTAAGTTCCTGCTTAAGTTCTGCACTTTGTTATCAGTGAGACAACAAAGAACATAAGGGACAGAGAGATTAAATTATTTGCCTGAGTTAACGCAAGAGGTTGTGGCATAGCAGGAAATCGAACTCGGATCTCCTCAGTTCTAATTCTTTGTCCAGGTGCAAAATGTTTCTTTCCCGTAACATTCTTGTGTTAAAGTTCTTTGTGTTTCTTTCACTGTGTTGATCAGCCTGAGATCTACCAAGGAGGCAGCAAATTACTAGTAGGGATTGGATAGCAACTTGTAACATTAAGAATTGAACCACTCCTTAAATTATTAACAAAAAATACTGACATTTTCCCAAGAGTGATGATATTGAGTTATCACACATGTATCATATCTCTCATAAAGTTTTAACATAAATGGTTGAAATTAAAGGTTCCCACTTTTCTTTTTCATGAGGGTCTATTATGTAGCTAGGATAGCTGCCTGAGAACCATATAACAATATTAATTTCCCATTTGTGTTGCACCTGAAAACTGAATATAGTGGTGTTGTACCCCTTAAATAGACCAGGTAGCTGGCAGCATCTGTAATATATGCTTGTAGAGCTATGATTCAGTTGTAAGACAGGTCGCTTATCAGGCAGACACCAGTGCAGCTGAGTGAAGTACTGAGCTGCTATAACTTGATAAGCTGATGCTTTTGAAGATGGCTTGAAGATGTCTCTATGCAGTCTTTATACAAAGGCTGTGGGCTTAAATTTGGGAACATCTTTTTTTTTTTTTTTTAAAAAAAAGCGCATAAGTTTCAGTGAATTTCACAGACAAAGCAAAAGTTCTTAATTGTGGTAGAATTTTGAATGACATATCCTTAATGTAAACAAACAAACAAAAACCAAAAGAGACCCCCCCCCCAAAAAAAACCCCACCACGTTTTGTTGCAATGATATATGTTTTTACAGTGAGAAAATCCTTTAGAAATGCCAAAACCCCAGATACCCTGCCTGACCAATGAACATTATCCCTCTTATATAGAAAAACTGGAAGGTTCAAGAGAATCAGTCCTTTTGTCTTGAAAACTAGCCTCTAATTCACTCCAAATATGCCATCATTATGTCATTTACTGTTCTGGTCACAATTAGTAACTTAATATGGATGCAGAGTAACAGAATGGCATAACAAGACTTTCTGGTGTCACACTGGACCAAAACATATAAATTATACATTATCGATTGTAAGATTTATGATATTTACTTAAGGACTTATTGATCCTTTCAAGCTAATAGTTGATAAAAAAAAAATGCATTCAGTAAATATAAAATATAATAGAAGAAATTTTTAAAATAGATGTTACAAGAATTGATTCACAGGTCTTCTATCAATCTTAAATGGAAAGAAGTGTATTGTACAGGACTGTTTTCTTAGTGTTTAATTGAGCTGTGACATCCTTGTCAGTGGATAATGATGCAGGTGCTAAAAGCATACATGCTATAAAAAAAGGGATAGGACAAATTTATGAAGTAAAATCCAGTAAGTCTATTTTGTATAAAAGGTAGCACTGTGGCTTAAGCTGTGCTGCAAGCTGCACTAGAGGCTGGTGAAGCATTTTAGGGGAGGTATCACTGTGCTGCCTACTATGTTTCATCTTCCTGAATATTTGCAGTTAACCTTTGTCTGAAACAGGGTATTTATTTAGTAATATGGATCTTTGGTTTAATTCAGTACAGGTATCTTTCTGGTTTAGTATAGTTATATTTAAACATGTGTGATAAATAAAACCAAGGAAACCCAAATCTGGCTATTAATTACAGATACAGTTTTACGCCTTGAAGAAACCACTGTAATGTAAAAACATACTAGCAAATATTTTTAAAAATGTATAGTTTGCTAGGTCCTGTATTTTTGTTTGGTAGACATCCCTTTTTAATGATAGAACGTCTGTGTCGTGGTTTCAGCCCAGCCGGTAACAAAGGACCACGCAGCCGCTTGCTCACTCCTCCTGCCCCCCTCTGGTGGGATGGGGAGGAGAATCAGAAAGGAGA